ATTGTCTACCATACGCTTCCGACAACTTCACACGATATGAAATCACGCATAAGAGACGCTTTTAAAACTGTAACTCCGCAAATGTTGTCCAGAGTTAGCAGTGGTTTTGAAAAAAGAATTTACGAGTGCCTAGAAATGGACGGTCAACATTTCGAACATTTGTTATAAATAATTTGCCTTTGTTTCATGTTATTGTTGATATGTTATTTAACCTTTTAATTAAAACACCAAATGGTGCACAGAACCATTATTTGGTGTATTTTGTAAGAAGCCAAAAACTTAGTTATTAACATCCTAGTACCATTCGATAGGTAATTAACAATTGCATTTCCTGGTAAGCTAAAAAATATGGGGTTGTATTTAAATTAATCAAGTTATAGCCACTTAAAGTTCTTATTTGATTAGTTTAAATTTGTGGACATCCTGTATAACATGGTAAGTTTATTATCATTGGGATATAAAATATTATTATCTTGTTACACTTCACTATAAATTACGCTTACATAACTTAAATACTTCTAAAGTATTTGACACATGAAAATAATATTAAATTTTGATAAAATTCGAATTATTTAAAAAACCTTTAGATTTAGACATTAAATCTTATTAAAACAAACACTTATTTTGATCAGAGAATCCAAAAATGTAATAATATATGGGGTATTTCATTTAGAAAAACACAACTTTGATACTTTTTGGGCTTTTGGGACACTCTGTACATTACAAAAATATTTTTGAAATGCGCACGCGACAGGCGCCTCTTGATTCATCAAATAGTACTTAGCAAAAAACAAACGGGCTAGACGCAAACGTCCGTGCCGTATAGCGTGAATAAACCTGTATATATGTACAGGGTGTCGCAATAAGGATGGTAAGCGGCTGTATCTTGGAAAGTATGTGTTGTAGAGTGATCGAAAAAAAAAATTGATAACAAACTTGAGAAAAATAATTTGCTGGAAATTATTTTGAAATTTCTCTCAGAAATTGTCCTTATAAGTGAAACATCTAGTAAGTTTAGTCAAAAGATCATAAAAAACCGTACTACTTTCCTTATGAACCTTTTTCCTAACTTGTCAAATAAAGCGTGGGGGAGAGTCAAACCGCTTAATTCAAAGAAACCTGTAACTCCGAAACGGCTTGACCGATTTCAAAGTCTTCACTATCAGTTTGAAAGAGCAATAAAAACTCTACAATATGTGATATAAAAGCAATCTTAATCATTTTCCAAAAATCCGCTATTCGTTCTAGTTAGCTATAAATTTCACAGTCCTTAATTTTTTCACAATTTTGATATCTTGGATTTTCGGTATTTGTCGATTTTATGATTACTATTCTTATTTTTCCATAAGTTGTCCGCCAGACTTGGACAATGATTCAGATTATGTTGCTGCAGCGATCGACAGTGTTCCTTGTTTAGTAAGCGATTGCTTCAGTAGCAGTAATACCGCCCAAAGTGAAAACTCAACAGGAAATGAACCAAAATGTGAAAGAAAGTGAAATATAAAAATTAAGAGACAAGATCCGAATTCAAAAAACGAATTTTCATTGTTCTTTGAAGCAGAAAGTTAAAAAAGTTATACGCATAAACCGTCATAAAACTTGAAAAATTGGTGAAAAAAGCAGATAATTTTCTTGCAACATTGAAAGGCAATAAATTTCGTCCCATTATATAAACTCATATGCATGTTTCATGCATATGTTCTTGCACATCCAAGACAAAACCATGCAAGTCTTGGTCTTGTATTTTATTTCGTTTATTTCAAATTGTTGTTCATTGAAAACCGGTTCAGGAACTATACGTTTATATTTACCTCCTCCGCAAGTTTTACTACATGGGGTGTATCCGGTGACTTTCCAGTGAAAATTCCTGCGCTTCAATCGAGTGCGTCTTTGCCCAGGCAGATAGGCAGGTTTTGGATCATCCCTCTGACTATTAAACGAAGAATTCGAGCTGGAAATATCCAACTTTCTCATATCTAGATTTGGAGCAGGTACAGGCCGCATGATTGAAGGTGGTGCAATAACGGGCACGGGAACATCATCAATTGGTAAAGCGTATCGGTACTTTATTCCGGGATTAGCTTGATAGTTGATAATCTGAAATTATTTGATCGCTCCAATTCACACGGCATATCTTATCCTAAACCTAATTACCATAATGTCCAGAGGAACTGATAAAGGACCACTGGCGGAAATCGACTCCAGAGAAGTACTGTCCTGCTTGTTGTACGTTATTTTAGTGCCAGCAGCATCGATCGATTTGCTGACTCCAAATTGCCAATCGCCGTTGAGAATGAAGGAAGAGTTTTCAGTTAATCTTAAGGCTGGATGGAACAAATATTCAGAAATTATTGATTATGTTTAAATATAATTGAGATACATATGTATATGTATGGCCATGTATGATGTCATTTCCAGAAAGTACAGATATAAAGCTTGATCATTTGCCTCATCAAATAATAACTTTTCAGCTAGAATTAAGAGAACTGTAATTTCTAATCAGCAAGTTGCAAAAAATTGTTTTTCATCTTTATCTTTCGATAAATGTGACAAATAGAACAAACAGGGGCGGAACCAGCTTTAAATTCAGGGGGGGGGTTATGTAGAAAAAATACAATCTTCTGTTGACTATGAAATTAGAAAAATTATCGTCGTTTTGTGCAAGGGTGGCGTAAGATTGTTGCAAAATTTTATGTTTTCCGTTCCGTTTTGCATGTTTCTCGGAAGCAAAATGAGCAATAACGCTCGTTTATACTTCATTCCAAAGAGAACTAAATGGCCTTTTTAGAAAGTGAACCATCGATAAGGAAATGTTGCAGTTTTC